GTGGCTTTTGGGTGGGGCAGTGATGGGTGCTATTTTCATAGATTCTTGGGAGTTGATGGAAACTTTGAAGGGAGCAGATCCTGGCAGGGCTAGATCCTGTCCCTGGGCCCTTTCCTCCTCATCTGTCTCAGCCTCCTGTCTGCCACGAGCAGAACACCTGTGTTTGTCACATGTTCCTGCCACCACATTCTGCATCACCACTGCCCAGAGGTGACACAGCCAGGTGACCACAGGCTGAAACCTCTGAAAACCTGGGCCACAATGAATCCTTCCTCCTTTAAGTTGATTTTGTCAGGGATTTTGCCACAGGGATTAAACGTCAGCCATGCTGCCTAGCTTTGTGTCAACTTGACACAAGTTAGAGCCATTTGAGAAAGAGAAAACCTCAACTGAGGAGATGAGATGCCCCTACCGGACTCGCCTGTGGAGGATTTTCTTGACTACGATTGATGTGGGAGGTCCCAGCTTGTGGTGGGTTACGCCATCCTTGAGCTAGTGGTTCTGGGTACCTGTGTCCTTCTTTAGAAAGCAGCTGTGAGGAGCAAGCCGTAAGCAGCACTCCTTCAAGGCTGTGTCAGTGTCTGCCTCCAGGCTCCTGCCTGACTTTCCTAAATGATGGACTATATGCTGGAAGAAGAAACAAAGCCCTTCCTCCCCAAGTTGTTTTTGGTCACAATGTTTCATCACAGCAGCAGAAACCTAATTAAGACAGAAATTGGTACCAGGAGTAGAATATTGCTATGACAGACATGACCATGTATTTGGATTGTGGAAATCGTTGGCCTGGAGAAGCCACTGAGTGGTTCCGAGCTCAGTGCGCTGCTATGAGAACCAAGACGACAAATGGAGGAGCAGTGCAGATGATAGAGGCTCAGCTTGTGAAGTTTCAGAGGGAAGCAAGACTCTATTGGAGCTATTCAATATTTCGAAATACGAAACTGTGGTCGGGTCAGCTGACGCTCAAGGATCAGCAGTGATTATCAAGAGACCTGAATCACTGAAGTGAAACCTTTGCTTTGCTGAGACAGTAGATGCTGGAGCTGCGAAAGTAACCGTGACTATTAAGAGACTATCGTTATGGAGGACTGTAAGTCTGGGAGTGTTTCCTCAGGGTCAGTACACAGAAGCTGTGGTCCAGAGGGGGTTGAGGCTGTCTCACGCTGGCAGCTGAACTTGGTAATGTTAGTCACCCATGTGGTATTGGTTTTGAAGGCATGAAGGAGTTATGGAGAGCAGCTGAGGCTTGGCACTGTGTGGCAGGGCTGGAGTCCCAGAAGAGAGGTTGGGAGAGGCCACCAGTAAAGGTGCAGATTCAGTCGCCCTGGAGACTCAGCATTTTAGAGACACCAGTATTATGGGATGGCTGCCAAGAGCAGCAGCAGCTGTGGAGTGGAGCCAGCCTGAGGTGAGGAATATACCCACTCCTCTCCATGTTGTTTTTGGTCATAGGGTTTATCGAGGGATATGCTACGCTGTTGGCTGTTCCTCTGAGATCGAGGGCTGTTTGGAGACTATGCTTGCAGCTTGAGAGACGAGATCAATAATTGCTAATCTAGCAAAGGGTCCAGATTCAAAATCTGAAGTATGGTTTCCCCGCAGTGCGGCTCTCCTCTGCATCATGTTGGGGGGGGCAGGAGGAAGGAAATCTTAAGTCAAATCATGCTAAGTCAGGAACCATCTGCAGAGGATGATGGGGGAAATGGATATGTTCCTATGCAAGCAACAGGTGTCACTGCAAAGATACAAAATCCCTAGCAGCAAGACAGCTGTGGAAAACCCAAGGTGGTCAACTACAGTCCCCAGGGAAAAAGGACTCTCAGGTCCTCCAGGAACAGCCTCATCCTGCCAGGAGCCTGTCTTGGTACTGAGAGTCAGAGGTGATATTGACATGGTCCAAGCCGAAGGGAACCTCAATCCTAGAGATAAAGCTATAGAGGAGAGATAAAGCCAGGGGCAGCCGGGGCCTTAGCAGCCCTCCTCAGCCCGGAAGGGAAGGGAGAAGCATCTTATGGCTGTCTCTATTAGCACCCTCAGCAGGAGGCAGGGCAAGCTGTTCTGTGCTGCTCTGTGCATGTTAATGGTTCTTCCTTCATGTGGCAAAACACTGTATATGTGGAGAGATGATGCAGCCTCCATGCTTCTGTCCTCTTCCCTACAGACAGTGAGATAAACCACCTCTGTGCCACGGGAGAAAAGCAGGATTACCGTCACAGCCTAGAGCAGAGGAAGGCTGCTGTGGCCAGCCTCCTACTCCGGTGTGGGGAAAAACAAACCAAAACTAAAACCAAACAACAAAAAACCCAAAACCAAAAAGCACGAAGCCTGGGGGCAGTGGTGGAGTCACTTCTAGCTGGAGCTGGCACGGTGACCCATTTGGAAGGCTTTGGGAGGAGCTCCAATACAAAACAATGAGAGAGAAGGGAGACACCACATGAGGCACACATAGTGTCCAGTGGGCTAGGACACGGCTTGGTAGCTTGAGGACCTTAAGCATCAACTCCTGAAAGTTGCCTACTACCTTCAGTTATGAGTCATGGCACACTTGCCCCCCACGCCCTACACACATACAAGCAAATAAATACATTTTTTAAAAGCGTGTTTTTGTTTTAGCTCAGCCTCACTCAAGAACAAATTGAGGGAGCACACTCCATTTGCAGCAGCAGTCAAAAAAAAAAAAAAAAGAAAGAAAGAAAGAAAGAAAAGACAAAAAGCACAGGACTCCAAAGGAGTCACCCACAGACAGGAACCAGTCCATGAGTCCTTGGTGGAAGACACAGTGGAGGGGTGGACTCTTGAGCAGAGGGTCTCAATGCCAGCATGTTTCGATGCTTAAGTTCAGTGGACTACCATTAAATCACCATTCCTCCCCAAGGTCTAGCCACCAAGGACATCCCTACAGAATCACTGGTGAGCCAAGGTCCAAGAGAGTGGAAGGCTAACCTGGGAAATCACGGAGTGGCGTTTACTTACAAACCACCAATCCAGCTATCTACTGCTCTTTTTCTTTTTCTTTTTTTTTTTTAGACAGGGTTTCTCTGTATTGTTTTGGAGGCTGTCCTGGGCTTCTCTGTCACAGGAGTCGGGGCAGGTCTCGTGCTGGAGGGCACAGCTGAGGTGAACTATTGCAGCTTCTAGTCCTCTTTGCCACTGTTTGACCTCTGAGCTATGTGTGGGACATGTAGAAAGTTGGAAACTTGGCTCGGACTCAGTGGCTTCCTAGAGTGGGTTCCAACTGGGGCTCAAAAGGTATGAGGAGTGCATCTGTTTCTCTGACTCCTGGATGGGAAGCCTGTGGCCTGCAGGCTGCACACTGGCAACTGGCACTCAGATCTACTCTGAAAACAGACCCACCTTTTCCAGGGCCCCAGAAGAAAACTGACTGTCCTGCCTGTGACTATCCCGGTAGCCAGTGCCCCACTGAAGTACAGCCCAGCAGGACACATGGCATCTCAGGAAGGAGAGGCTGTGGGCCTGAGGGAGTGGTACCGGAGGGCGAGCTTTTAGGGAACTACTCCCTGGCTCAGCATTTTCACTGGAATTCGTACCACATGTGGTACCCATGTCACACACTCTACCAGATGCCAGTTTAGGATTGATCAGAAACTATGGAATTGGTTCACTCTGGGGTGTATGTGGGGAAATCACCGGGGACTTTTCCAGTGGGCTAGTTGCCCCAAGTAGGGATTGCATCTGAAAATGTTTCCCTATGTCGTGGTTCTCTGTAGCCCAGCATTGATGGAAACACTGTTCTGCAGCCCTGGGGCTGGACTGATAATCTGCACATGAACCCAGCATATGTGCAGGGAAGTAGGACAAACACCCAAGCATCCCCCTCTGCCTCCAAGCTCACAGTGACAGCAAACAAACAGGCTGGTTCGATTAGCAAGTGGGAGCCCTTGGATCTGGACTCTGCAGCTAGAGGTATGTCCAGATAGAAACAGCAGCGCAGCCACACTCGGACTTCCCGGGGTGCTCCCCTCACTTGTAGTTTATATAGAGTTTAACAAATAGTCTGGACAATCAAATTTCCCCTCCTAGGTTCCCAGCACGATAGACGAGAGGGGCATGTGTTCTCCAGCACAGAAGATTTGGGAACTGATCGTTGTCAGCGGTGGCTGGCATGCCCAAGTGAAGTCTGCAAAACAATCGGGAGCTTGCAAAGCAGTCAGCAAGCTGTCCAAGCTGCTCTGCTGTGTAACCACAGCTCACATCTTTTCTGACTGCTGATGAACTTTTTCATGATTACACACGAAAAATTTTTTAAATGTACGCAGCCTTCTATAAACACAATAGCACACACAGGGTACTCAGGGAGAACGGAAAATACTTTATCTCCTGCCATTTTGCTAATTACAAATAAAGCCAGCAGGTAGAATAAGAAAAGATCCAGCTTGTTTAAAAAAAATGTCCCAGATAAGATCTTAGCCCTGAAGATTAGTATACTTTAAAGAAAAACAGAAACCCTTCCACACAGCCATTCAGGATATCAAACTCTATCACCAAGGAGATCTGGCCAGTAGCAGGGCCCGGGAAGAACAGTGTGAGCTCAGAGATTCCGTTCATCACAGCTGGGTTCCAAAGACATTAATTCACCGATAACCTCATAAAGTTGGGTTTGTTCTCCCAAGACAACATTGCCAGACCACTCAGGGCTACATCGGGAGCACAGGACTTTGGACTTCAAGAAGAACCCTTTTCCTGGTAAACACTGGAGGTCCTTATATCTGGTCAGATACAGTGTTCTATTTACACAAGCCTTACAGAGTGCAGACTCTGGTGCACTGGTAAATGACCTTTATTTATTTGCTCATTCTAAACAAACAAAAAAATTGCTCAACCAGCTCTCTGCTTTGCTAATACAGAAATGTTCATTTCTTAGGGAACTGAAGCTAAAATTCCACATCAAACCAAGAGGATCTTAGCACAGGGGAAGACAATATTATTACAAGGTTTTGCTTTTCATGTGAGTTTAGCTGAGACATGTAAGGAGCCAGACCCACCTTCAGATTCTATTACCCGGAGACGAATATTTTCTCCAGACCGGGCAGTACTCGGTGAGGAACACAAATGGGTGAGATCTGCTTGGTAAACAGAAGGTCTCTCAGTGCTGCTCCTGCCCAGGCTCCACAGACAGGGCATACTGTGCTGACCTGCTTCCTGGGCTATAAAAAGTGCCCGTGGCCACCCTTACCAGAACCAGAGCCCGAGCAGCAGGTGCCTCTGACCAACACCATGGGTGTGGGAAGACACCACAAGAGCCATCAGCCTTCCCAGGGACACGGCCAATTCCTTGTTTTGTTTTCATGAAAAGGTAGCTGTACATCTGAAATACGCTCAGTAGGTCTGGCAGTCCAGGCTCCCGGCAGATTCTCTGTGCATTGCAGGCAAGCAGAGTGAGATGGGCAGTTTCTTGTTGGTTACCCCTGGGCTGCAGTTCATGATCACTAAAACAGAAACCCAGCAAGTCTGCCACTTCTATTTCTTTCTCTTTTTTTGTCACAAGTGCCAGGTTAACAAGCTAACAACAAAACCCCCAAAGAAACGGTCTTAACAAGCAACTGCTGTAGGTGACAGACAGGTTTCCAGTTATACTGTTCAGACCCCTAAGTGGTGGCTTTGATGGAAGTTGAGCACATCTGCAAGCTTCTCCTGGCTCTGGGAGCTTGCATCAGCTTGGAGCCTGCCTGCCCGCCCGCCTGCCCGCCCGCCGGAGAACTGAAGCGATCCCCATCCCTCCCGGAAAGCAAGGTGTCCATTGTATGAACAAAAGTTGCTGGTGCCTTCGGATGGCCCACTAAGCGATGTGCCCGAATCGTCCCATCTCCATAGCAGCGTTAGGTGGCAGCCCCCTGCATCACCGGCTCTGCTGCCCTGGCTGAGCTCGCGCTCTGACTGAGTAAGGTGCATTCAGGTGTTGCCCTCCCGGTCCCTGGTCACCGCCGGTGCTGCAGCCCGGGTTACTCACCCAGCAGCAGCCAGAGGCCGCGCCGCGGGAGGCCACGCAGGCCGGGGGCCATGACGAGCCGAGCCCCGGCCGTCCCAGCGCCAGCGCCGTGCCGAGCTCTGAGCCTGCTGGAGACGCGCCGGGGGCGGGAGCTAGGGAGAGGCCGCGCCCGGCCCACTGCAGCTCCCACGCCCGCCCGCCCGCTGTCGAGGGCGGAAGCTGGCGGCGGCACCTGAGGCTGGAGCTCAGCTGGGACTGGAGGGGAGGCTCCTGGAATGTCTGGGGCGAATGGGCTTGGAGGGTCTCCAGGTACTCAGAGCCGGCACCTCTCCCTGAGGGCCGGTTTCCTGCTCTAGCCTGTGGTCTGCTCTGCAAACAGCCAGCCAGTTGTCCCAACTCCTTTTCCTGTAGGGTACTCGAGTGGTGGGGACAAAAGCAGGCCAGCCAACGTCTGCGGGACAAGGAGTGGAACCTCAGTTAGAATGGTCAGCAGGAACAAGGTGCACTTGCCAGCAGTTGGTGATAGGCCAGGGTAGGGCAGCAGAGTTCATAAATACCCAACTTAGGGACAAAAGGAACTGCTAGGTAGAAAGGTGACAGTTTCTGTTGGGGTTGGCTACTGGCCATGACTGCACACAGAATGGACCAGTAACGGTAGGAGTCTTGGGTGTGTTAATATAAGCAAGAAATGCCGTGTACCACTGGCATGCTGGGTAACCTGGGGCAGATACCCTGAGTACAGGGTAGGGCATGAGCTGGAGTCGTGGAAGCAGCAGCTCACTATCTGAGCAAGTCTACTCGCTGAGGCTTGACTGCAGCCAGGGGGCTGCACTTGACCAGCCATGTACTGGCAGAGGCTCCACTCCGGCCAGCAGACAATACTGCTGGACGACCACATTCCTCAGAGGAAAAGGAACAAGGCTAAGAGGTTGCTGCCACCTTCTGGCCAAGCGCTTGGGACCCTCCGCAGTTGGTACTGGCCAGGAGGACATTTGGATCTGCAAACCTAAGACCCGGGGCCCCAAATGTCCTGAAGTCAAGGGGACATGGAAAAGGGAACAAATTCTTTTGGCTTGGCCAGCCCTTTGTTTTGAACCTTATGAAGACTCTACCAGGGTCAACAGACATTCAAGGCAAGTTCTGGGAAACTGCTGAGCCCTGCCTTGTAGTAAGGAACATGGTGTGTGGCTCTCATTTTCATGTCCACAGCTGAGAACCTAGCCCAAGAGGTTCCCCAATACTTGCAATGAGTTTCTCCCAATTCACACATAAAGGAGCAACTCCTTGGCCCAAGTGAGGCTGCCCTGTGACAACAGGCTGGCCCCTTCAAGTCTATGAGATTTACTCACTGCTAACTGGTAAGCAGCGGCATTAGATTTCCCTCCCCCAGGGAGGTTCACGTGCTGCAGTAGGTTATGCACTGGCAGGGGAGAGAGGCTAAATGCTTGATGTCATTAACGGTGGAAGTAAGTCCATCTACAGGTCGGTACTACATCTTCAGTGGACACAAAAAGTTCCCACATGTACATTGTAAAGTAACTACGCTTCAGCAAATGTCACTGGGACAGTGCAGGGAGCCCCGAGAATAGGGACAGTGCAGCTGGCACTGCCCACTAAGTTTCCACACCACAGTAGGGAGAGGAAAGCCAGAGTCCAGGGAATCAGTCAAAGTAACGAGAGAGAGACAGAGAGCTGCGAGTGGACTCCAGTGAGAGATCCAGAGTGCGGGCTTCACACGTGTATGTCAACACACTATCTGACCTGAGGAAAAAATCAAAGAGCTTAGTCTGGAACAGTCCACTTGCCAACACCGCAGAAGGGAACCAGAAAGAAGTACCCAGAGCAGCAGAGTAGTCAGAGTGGGACTGCCACAGGCCCAGGAGAAACACACACAGTACTAGAGCAACTTGAAGGAGCTTGACAGCAAGACCATCACACAGCACGCAGCTCCATGTAACCACTGCTTATAGAAGAACAACACATCACAAGACTGTGACCCCACTTCGAGTGGCCTCATTTATGACTGTCGTCCTGGAAGGAGAGTGTCAAACATACCCATGAAACTACAAACTCAAGAATATCAAGCGCCCCCAAATACAAGAGTCATGAGGAAAACACAGTAAGGTACAGCACATGCAATTGTTTAATGCCAGTAACAGAGGCAACCTCAACAGCAGCCAGAGGAAAGTGTCAAAGCAAACAAGGGGACGTCTTCCGGTACGGTGGAAAGAGGGCCGACTTATGTCTGCCCCTCTCCACTGGCCAGCAGGAAGCCACTCTGACCACTGTCACATTGAATCAGTTGTTCTCAAGCACAGCTGTTCGATAAGGACGAACAGAAGGCATCTTGGGAACTCTCAGCTTCAAGCATCAGCTTGTCAAGGCCCTCAAGGGAGCTGCAGTTAAAACCCAAACCCTCAGGGCTCTCAAGGAGCTTAGAGCTTCAGTCCCTCAAATGCACCCAAGGGAAAAGCAAATGAAAATCCTCAAATCAACTGTCTATCTGACAGAGAATGATGTGCTCAGGGACAACTCAGGCGCAGCAAAGCAAATGAGTAAAAGAAAAAAATCGCATGTCCCTGATGCTCATAGTCCAGTCCAGTCCCCCCGCCCTCCAGTTCAACACTTAGCAGAGAGCAGGACAGACTGAGAAAAGCTGGGAGACAGACAGAGGCTGGTTAGGGACCCATGGGAGATATGGAAACATGGCCACAGAGTTAACATCCTAATGACATAGAAATGAAAAAAACAAAACAAAACCCTCCCCTAAAACTATGCAGTTGAACAAGAGGAGTCAGCTCTATCCAGACCTATACAAGCGATGAAGTTTCAACACATGTAACAGAAGGGACCCTGTACACACACACACACACACAGGCTTGTGCCTTTAATTCCAGCACTCAAGAGGCAGAGGCAGGTGGATCTTTCTGAGTTCAAGGCCAGCCTATTTCACATAGTGAGTTCCAGGCTAGCCAGGGCTATATGGTGAGACCCTAACTCAAACAAACAAAAACAAAACCTCAAAGCAAGCAAACGCATGACCACAAAATATATTAACGCACAATCAAACTATGTCCGTTTAAAAACTCATCTACTTTCTATAATGCTTTCAAATGCCGTTTGCCAGTTTCTCACAAGATGGTTTGAAAAGCTGCAATGACCTTGTGTACAGACTAGAACTGGACAGATAATGGCAACTGTGAGGCAAGTGTACAGAGAGAACAGACAGGCAAAGCATCGTCAGGAATGGACATGGACAGACACCAACTCCAACCATAGAACACGTACGGGGCATGTGACCCAACAGATACCCGTTCTTAGCCTCAGAAACAGCAGTGAGTGTCTCGCTGGCCACATGGCTTTCCAATACTGCTCTGCCAGAAAAGAAAACAACTTGTGGAGTAAGGGATATTGCAAGATGAATCGAATGGTCCTGTGGTGGCAGAAACCAAGCATTCAGAAGAAGACAGAACCCACCCTACAGGAATTAAGTACTAACACCAGCATAATGTGAACAGCGGGAGACTCAACTGATGCATTTTAACCCAGAGAACAAACACTCGCTTCACACTGTCCTAATATTGCTAAGCACGTGAGAGGAGTGTCCATGCAGAAATGATGAAGAGCCAGTCTCCATTACAGACACTGCAGGAATTGTCTCCAGCAAAATGAACCAATGGGTACTGGAACCAGTAAGCAGAAATTTTACAGAAGAAAGACCTCTTAACTGAGAGGTCAGGATCACATGCGTCCTTGGGCAGAGACAGGCTTCTGGGTATAGTGACAAGTGAAAAGTCAAGTCTATAGAATAACCAACACATGCCAAGGCCATGGACCTCCAGAAAGCACTGAAAAGCCACCACAGGCAGAGGACAGGATAAAGAAAACAAGCACCATGTTATGAGAAGTGAGTTGTATGTCTTTATTAGCTGCCTGAGGAATTTACATAACTCAAGGAGGTTCTCATGTAACATTCCCCCAAGACTGAAAATGGAGGCAAAGATACACAGAACATCTTATTTCGATGGTTCTTGTTAACTCTGAAATCATCTGGAAGCTGAGCCTTAAGTGGACATGTGAGGTAGTACACTGACTGAGTTAAAGGATGTGAAAAGATCCAACTTCCTTGTGGCTGGGACCTCCCTGGACCAACATCCTGTATAAAACAGAGTAAGCTAAGGAGAGCACGTACTGCTTTCCTGACTGCAGATGATGTGACCAGTAGCTTCAAGGTTCTGCTGCCTCGACTTCCCACCAAGAAGGACTGTCCACTGTGAGTTGCAATGAACCCTCCCTTCTAGGTGCTGCCGAGAGCCCTTTGGTGCATACAAGTTGCCAGATCTAGCTCTACATTAGTTATTAGAAAGGGCTGCCTAACTCCAAACCCCTGGACGTTATTTGAAATGCAGTTTATTTTGCCTTTATGTATTCTAAAAGAGATTCATATTTGATTATTCTTCTTTAGAAACAAATGACTACAGATATGCTAATTTCTCCAAATATATTAACGCATATGATTTTATATGTAGAGAATACCCCCATGATTTTATAATTCTACTAAATTAGTATATGGGTCAAACCAATTACTTTTGAAGTTAGGTATACACATACAGAGGAATCTAATTCTTGGCAGATATGTGAAGTAAATCTGGAAATAAATGAAACAAAATAATTATTAAAATAAAAGGAAAATCTTGAGCCAGTAGTTACCATTTTATGTACCCACATAGAGTGGTAGGTGACTTACACTAAGACACTCCCACTTCTAGAGAACTGTAGAGTCAGATTGAACTATAGACCGACTGACTGCCTTTATTAAACACAAGGACACCAAATAAATAAATGCTTAATGGGGTAACTTTTAATCAAGCAACAACAATGAAGTATTGGATAGAAACAGTATAAACATTTGAAAAAGTACTAAATGCTATTATCAGTACAAATGTAGTTTTAACCAGTGCAGTAGTTACTATTAGAAAGCAAATGGGGTTAACCTTACATCTATAGTGCTAGAAGATAGGGAACCACATCAACCTTTGAAAACCTTCCAAGTTACACTAAAACATGACAGAACTTAGTAAAACATAGGCCAGAATAGGAGTACTTTTACATTTCAGTACTTTACCCCAGCACACCTGGGAAAACATATCTGAATGCTTTATTTTGTCATCAAAGCACACTAATGCATTGCAAGCAGTAATTACCTCTGCACACACTGAACTCAGTTTATCTGTACCCTACGGTCTAATCTGATCTTAAAAGCTGAAACTACAAAGTGAGCTCCAGAAAAATCCCATTTTTACATATGGAAGTATGTAAATTTTTTTACATAATTTTTACAAATACAAAGAACTTTGAAACAGTACAGTAAACTTTTTTTCTGGACAATATTTTTTAAATGAACTTGTTAATGATGACTTATAAATAGATATGACCACCTTTTTTTCTAATTCAAAATACACTTGAAGTCTTGAGTAATAATTCTGAAATTAAGTTTATAAATTTAATAAAACATGTAGATTTTAATACTATAGATATATCTGTTGTTGCCAGATTTTAAAGGAGGACTATCAATTGCAATACTTAAAGTGTTAGGTCCAGTTTTAGAGGCTGTTTGATTGTATTACCACAACTTTTCCTAAATGCTGAAGAACGTTCTCTGATGAAGGGAACTCATACTTTCCTAGGATTTTCTAGAGGATCAAGAACACAGAGAAAAACCAACAATAAAATGTGCTGATTATGCCAAAAACCATGTTATTTATTACTATACTACTCATTTTATAGCTCACTTGTGCATTGTATGTACTCTTTTGTTTATTTTGTTTTGTTTTTCATGACAGTCTAACTATGCAGCTCTGGCTGTCCTGGAACTCACTCTGTAGACCAGGCTGGCCTTGACCTCAGAGATACACCTGTTCTGCCTCCTGATTGCTGGGATTAAAGGTATGAGCTACCACTGCATTCTTTTAGTCTATTCACTAATGAATCTTATCACTAACTGAATACTAAATTAGTTGAGAAACAGGTCACCACCTGTTACGTATGAGTGGCATCACAGTAGTAAAGTTACTGCAGTTGAGAGGAATCTGGTGGAGCGGTGTTGAGTCACATTCACTTTGAGGTTCTTGAGATACTGATGTGTGCACACCCCTGCACCATGTTCCCCTTTGTACAATTTGCAATTATTTGAAAACACACATCCTTGATGAATTTAACCAAGATCCCATCTTTCTGGAGGCAGTGCTATCTAGAAGGGTCTGGCTGGCTAAAGTGGGTAACTGGGCAGGGGAGTGGGCCTTTGAAGGCTGCAGCCTGAACCTTAGTGTTTATTTCTCTGCTTCATGGTCTGGTCATGATATAAGGAACTCATCTACACACTCGCCACCATGGAGCCTTTCTGGCACATTGTCACCACCGTGATGACTATATCCTCAGAAACAAGAAGCTAAAGTAGACCTTCCTTCTCTCCTATACATTGTTTCTGTCAGATATGAGCAAAGTAACTGATGAACTGGCTCTAAATCAACAGTTAACTAACATGGTGTACTTGTTTTAAAATGTAACGTTTCACTCTTGTATTAAGACCAATAGTTTTATGTAAGAAACTAAAGTCTTTAATATCTAAGTATAAAAGCATACATTACCTCTGTATTGCTTCATTTATTCCTAACGGAAGCAGAATTTCTCAGAAAAGATGAAGTCATTTTGACAATGGTGTTGATGGACAAACCATTCAGAAAACCTTTATGATTTATCCTCACTTCCTGAAGGGCCTCAATAATGTGGTCTCTATACAAGAGGAAAACAGACAGCAATTCTGCTTCTCAAGTAACCATGTTGCAGAAGTTCTCAACACTACACTGCACATACGAGTTTAAAATTCAGTTATAACTTTAGTTAGTACCTGCTGATGTCTGGGTGCAGCTCACCCAGTCTCTTCATGATCTTGGTGAAGCTACGAAGGTTCAATGTATTTGGAGGTATGAAGTGAACAGGTGTCTCAGGTAATAACCGAGCAGACTCAATCTGGTTACAATTTTTCTTGATACCCTAAACAAATGTTGAAAATATGAGCAAAGGGGTACAAGAACATCTAGAAAGGCAAGAGAACTAAAAAGTATTTCAAAGCCAGCAACAGGAGCTTCACACACTTGCACCCAGAGCCTGCAGCATGTTCTTTAGACCCGCTCTCTGCCAACCCCAATGCCCACAGCCCCAGCTGACTGGACCAAAGAGTGCTGTCTTCAGGCTAATGAGCACCAGCCTCACAAGCCAGGTCAAGTAGATTTCTTGCTTATGGAACTGGGACATGGAGTAAACAAATTCAGTCAAATAATCAGAGCCTGACAAGAAACGCTACAGGCTAGTTACATGAAGTGGGGTACTGCAACCATGGACACAGAAAACCCACACAAAGAGAGCTGACAGATGCAACAGCGAAGTGATTGTGTAATGCAGAGGAAGGACCACATTTCCCAAACATCCATAGTTCCCAGGAAATCCTGTTTCCTCCTTTCCTTCTGTGGACTAAAACAGTGGACCCTAAAACCCACCCTAAATATTAAGTATCAGGGAAATGAATGGGGGCAGCTTTTTTGTTTGTTTTTGTTGTTTTGTTTTTTGAGACAAGGTTTCTCCATGTAGCCCTGCTGAACTGGAACTCACTCTGTAGACCATGCTGGCCTCAAACTCAGCGCTTCATCTGCCTCTGCCTCCTGATTGCTGGGATTAAAGACATGTGCCCCTATCCTCAACCCCAGGGAAAGGGAGCATTGTAACAGGGACCGTCACTGTCAAAGAAGCCAGGTGCTCAAGAAGGCAGCAGGTGGATGAAAGACCACTAGTGAGGTCACTCTTGACAATGGGTAGAACAGTTAAAGTGAACTTTGGAGAATGAAGTCAGATTACAGGACAAAGAGGAAATGAAATGGTCAAATAAGTGAAGACAATGGATACAGAGAACCTTGGCAATAAAAACACAAGTAACGGTTAAGTTCAAGAATGCAAATGAGACCCTGCTGGGCTTAGGAAGCCCTGTGGGTGCTACCAACAGAAACGTCTGAGTGGAAATCCAGTCACCAATGTGTCTAAGGGTGTGGTGAGACGAGCAAGAGTCAGCAGAGGGCTGGGGGGCAGCACAGAGACTGCTCTGGGGGTGCTAACGCTGCTCTCTCGTGTCAGTGGTGGGGACTCACCGAAGTGCACTGTCTAGTCATGACCACCAACAAGAGTGAAGTTTACTCACGCCAGCGGTGGTGGCGCACGCCTTTAATCCCAGCACTCGGGAGGCAGAGGCAGGCGGATCTCTGTGAGTTCGAGGCCAGGCTGGACCAACAGCCTCCAAAACAATACAGAGAAACCCTGTCTTGTTAAAAAAAAAAAAAAAAGAATGAAGTTTACTCAACTTAAACATTATGGTAACCCACTGGATACCAGGCATTTTGATGAGTGAAACTGTCACATTCCAGGAAGCATTTAAAACTGTAATGGGGTGAAGATGAGGGTTTTGAAATAAATCACGTTTTGTAGTTTAGAAATGTATAAGGTAAGGTTACTATCAAAACCAAAAATAAATAAAAACAGAAACGAAGCGATACTGGTGGAAGGATGACTGTCAAGAATAAGGAGACGAGGACCGGGAAAGACGGTAGTAAACCCAGCAACAAGAACCTGCTTCTCCAAGCCAGGCGGGGACATCCAGGTTTCCCCACAAGAGGAACTGCAGCTGTGCAAATGCAGGTTAGGGTGGAACCAAGATAAGAGCCATCTTACGGATCTGCTGCGCCAGTGCAAGGACTGTCATCACTGCGGCACTTCCAGAAGCACACTAGTCGCGACTAATCGATTAGGAAAACTAACCTGGTCCAAAGGAGGAAACTCACTGTCTTGCTCAGACTCCAGCTGCCTTGGTCTAGCTCTGGGCAGTCTACAAGCAGAAGAGGCAAGGGTGCCTTCTTTGTTGGTATTTTTCTCCAAAGGATTCACACTAGTGCTATTCCCAGTTTTGGACAAAAGTGGTGGTGTGTGTTCTCCAGGAATTTTCACAAGCCGCACATTCACCGATTTTCCATTGATTTCTATACCATTCATTTCCTTCACAGCCATCTTTGCATTACTGTTTTTTGCAAAAGCAAGAGATGCATATCTAAAACACCAGAGCAGAAGATAAAGGGTCTTTGTTAATGACCAGTTCTAACTTACTCTTGTAAAACCTAAGATGGCTTTCACAAGAACAGCTAGCTGCTCTTAAAAAGGTTCTTATACTTGCTGGGGTAAGTAGGTGATGTTTGTTGTTTATGACCTGTTTTTTGAGACAGGGTCTCTTTCTTATTTAGTCCTGGCTGTCTTAGAGCTTGCTTGGTAGACCAGGCTGACCTTAAACTCAGAGATGCCTGCCTTTGCCTCTCAAGGGTTAATAGTGAAGGCGTTCACTGCCAAATAAGTAGGTGTTTATTCAGGATAATTGAATACAGGACAAATGAAAGGGGAAATAGGATAATCTGTAATAATTATGAGTCATATTAAAATTTAATGTTTAAAACTATAGTCTATATCATATATATGTATGTATGTATATGTACAGATCTGAGGCCTAGGGCCAAGTGGTCATACATTCTAAAATTGAAAGTCAATTTTTATGTACAAATATAAACTCCAGGTGGCTCAAGGCTTAAACATTAAAGGCAAAACTGGAAGATATTTAGCAGAATATATGAAAATGCATTTATAGTCAGAAGTGAGAAAATATATCAACAAAAAGTTAGACAATCTAGTAAGAATTTTAAATATGTAATTAAGAAAGCTGGGCCAGAGTTGTACCTGTTAAGATAACAGCTCTATACAGTGTTAATAGAAACATGTACACCAAATCTTAAGCAACTTTTTTCTAAATGATAGGACTATGGACACAATTTTAAAATAGCCTTATATTTTTGTATTTAACTGCATTTTCTAAATTTGTACACAAAAATTGTATTTTAAGAAAAAAACCTCACTAAGATTTTTAAGGATTCAGTAATATACCAAAAGAAAGTCATGGGGGATAATATTCCTAAGAGATACAACCATAGCTTAATATGAGAAAAATACATTAACATACCATCAACATGTCATATAAAGGATACAATCTAAGTGACTATAATTAGGAAAATTAGCATCAACTTTTACAAATTTAAGTTTCTAACCACAAGCAAAATCCCTCTTAATTATGTCTTGATCTCTGAAACCAACAGCTATCATTTTAATGACAGAACAGTAAAGTATCCATGAAGTAATTATCACTGTAACTGGATACTCTGAGTAACCAACAAATGTCCAAATAGACACGCATGCACGCACGCACGCACGCACGTGCACACACACACAGGAAAACCACAGATGGGTGATGTAGCCACCTACCTAAAAATATAAAACACTGTAAAAGTCGGAAATAATTGAGTTAAATATTCCCTTCCAAACCAACTTTCTGTCTTTTCTCCTAGTGCTTTACATAGTTAACTCCTAGTGTGATGACAACAATCCTATTTATTGTCCTTATCCTCATTTTACAAAGAAGCTACAACTCAGAGGCCAAGTAACTCATTCAAATTAATTCAAGTTACTGAAGGCATTGGGGATTCAAACAGTCCTAGTTCTTTCTTTTTTCTTTTCTTTTCTTTCTTTCTTTCTTTTTTTTTTTTTTTTTTGGTTTTTCGAGACAGTTTCCCTGGCTGTCCTGAGACTAGCTCTGTAGACCAGGCTAGCCTCGGACTCACAGAAATCCACCTGCCTCTGCCTCCTGAGTGCTGGGATTAAAGAAAGCTATACATCACCACCACCCAGCAAATCACGTGGTTTCTGGGAATTGAACTCATCTGGAAGAGCAGCCAATGCTCTTAACCTGTGAGCCATCTCTCCAGCCATGAAACAGTCCTGTTTCTTGAGTATATCTTCGTAATTGATGCACTCGTTTCTGCTATGAAATGACATATAGCCAGATAAATACACAGAAATCAGTTAACTCTTGTATCTATGATAAAGAGGCCATGTGTGACAGTGCATGCTGCAATCTCAGCAGCCAGGATTCTGAAACATGAGTAACAGTCTGGACCAGCCAGTATAACTACTGCCACTATCTGCACTATCTCTTCTGTCTGGGCCTCCCCCCGGGGAGTGACTCTTGCTTACTGCATCTGTTGCACAGCAGACATACAGTAATGTACAGTTTGAATTTGGGAGCAAACCTGTAATTAGTAGAATCATCTATTGAAATTTCAGAAACTTGGTATTTCTGGAAATGAGTCCTTAAATCAGCCTAAAAGAAGAAAAAATAAAATTTGTGAAAGGCTAAAAAGACATCACAATAATTTATAAATTTTAAAGTGAAGCCCCCCAAGAAATTCTAGACATACCTCAGATACAGAGGGGCAAAGACCACCAACATGTATCAAAAAGCCTTTAGTTCTTCGAAGCAGTTCACCATTCTTCATTTCTGATTCTAGAATATATCACAGAAATGCCCACTGTGACATCAAATATTTTAAAGAAAATGCCAACAGTGTTAATATTTGTTTTCTTTCCAATTACAAAGCTTATTTATGATCTTATGTGTGCTGCATGTACATTGTATGTGCATGCCATAGTGCATGTGTGTGGAAGTCAAAGGACAACTCACAGGATCCAGTTCTCCCCTTCTACCATACAGATTATGGGAATCAGACTCAAGTAGTCAGGCTTGATGGTAGGTAAATGTATTTACTGCCAAACCTGACAATTGAGTCCTGTCTTTAGGAATCACACAATAGAAGATGACAATGGACTTTTTAAAGTTGTCCTCTGACCTCTATATGCATATCATGGCACACATACACCTCACCCACACACAAAAAAATAAAAATAATAAAGTCAGAAAATGTCAGCATTAAACCAAGCATGTTGGTAGACACCTGTAATCCCAGCACTGAGAAAGCTGAAGCATGAGGATCACAAGCTCAAAGCTAGCCTGGAACACATACTGTAACCCCCCTTTTTTTCTAAAGAAACAAACAAAATCAAGCACCATAATTGAACACAAGAGTCTAGACTATCAGTCTTAAGATTGCTGCATCTTATTAATGTCACCTTCAAATAAAGAGGTTGGTTTACACAGTATCCATTCTCCTGGAGCTCTAAAGTTTACATTACAACAACCAAGCATCACTTATCTCTGCTATTTAGTGCCTGTGTCACATGGGCCAGAGCTGGTGTCTGGACACTCTAAGTGCACTACTTGCTGGGAAACAGCACACCAAACAAAACAAAACAACCTTTGTATCAGACATGCAGCAATGGCAGGCACAGATCTTGTCATTATGGAGGAATGCATAACAAGAAAATTTAGGTATCATAAAGCTAGGCTTATAAATCTATTTGACACAAGCATACACAATCTGCATGCTCTATCCATCTCCCTTTTCTCCACTGTGCAGACAACGGGATGTGAAATCCGATCCCAGCCACTGAGATCAAGTTCCCCGCAAGCCCTCGCCCAGCACACAGGTGTACACACACTTGTCTAAAGACTTCTGAATGTGGGTGTCAGTGAGGAGGCCTAGGTAATCTATTGAGCCTTGGGCAGTAGATCAGTACTCATCCCGAGTATACACATGGACTTTGGACTCCCATCCAACAATGTGAGGTGCACTCTCACCCTGAACTCTTGGGGGAGGGTCTAGGCCCTGCCCTGTATGAAATGACAGACTATGGACACCCCCATGGAGGGTCCCACCCTCCCTGGGGAAATGAGGGGATAATGGGGGGGGGGATTAGGGGGAGGGCACGGGAGGAGGGGAGGGAAAGGGAGAGGGACCTGGAACTGACTTGTGAAGCAACCTTGTTTCTAATCTAAATTTAAACTGGAAAATAAATTAAAAAAATAAAAGATATAAATATAAAAAGAAAATAAATAAATGCACTTATGAAGCAAAAAAAGACGTCTTAGTTTCTACCTTTTGTAATTTTATGTAGTAATGAAAGGCCTATGAATCCCATTTTTCATAAGCCTCTTGAAATGGCTGTGAAAACTAAACAAGGCTATGGCTACTGTATTTGTCTTATAGAGGAGGAGGCTGGAACAAGTTCTTGGCAGTTTCAGTTGGGTTCAGGCACTGTCTCTCATGGCAGTGGTGGCGCATGCCTTTAATCTCAGCACTCAGGAGGTAGAGGCAGGTGGATCTCTGTGAGCCTGGTTTACAGAGCAAGTTCTAGGACAGCTAATGCTGTTAAATAGAAAAGCCCTCTCTTGAAAAAAAGACCTTGCCTTCTTCATTATGGGACTAATCTGCTCACCTATCTGGAGAGACAATGAAGCCCTTCCTTCACAGTTTAGATGCTGACACTGTAGCTACAGCAGCAAACAGCAGTGACTCACTACCTCCTAGCCATCTCTCTCGTTCACCAGTCCAGTAAAGCTGCACAGTCCCATGGGCTGAGCACTGTGTCTCACAAAATGAGAATTTAGTAACTATTTGCTCATTAAAAATTCACCTCCAACTGCCCAATTTTCTCACTTTTTAAACATAGGCAACAGGAACAAAATACTTTTATAGCTTGTCTCCCCCAAACATAGAAGAAAGCACCGTTTTTTAGATAAGCTAGGTTACGATTTTCCTGCAGTTCTGAAGAACCAACCTAATGGACTCTTTGGGTTCCATCCGTCGTGTTCTGTTCCATTTTCCTGAGATTCTGAGAAGTCAACTCCAGTCAGCCTCTCTGTTGCGTCAAACCAGTCTTCACTTACTTCAGGAACGCTTTTGTATTCTAAGGCATTGAGCACAAGGAACCTTGTCTATCTCTCAGGAACACAGTTATAAACCCCTCTGTCAAGACAAGCACGGTGGAACTGAGCCAGGCAGTCTCTGACCCGGACTTGTCAGCAGGCACCGAACATAAAGCTCTTTCAGCCCGAGGCTTCTGCTCCCGTTTCCTTTACTGGACACTGGTGCCAATGTATCTATCGAAAGCCTTCCTCCCTCACTCGCATCAGTTACTCTTTATTGATGAAGCTGTCTTTACATAACAAACCCAGTAAACATGCTGCAGTTCTTCAGATCATTAAAATTAATAACCATCTGTAATTACAATCTTTGAAAGGAAAAGCTAGTAAAGACGGGACATTTTAAACATTACGTGTTTTCTGGGTTTTCATTTTTTAGTTTTTGGAGACAGGGTCTCACTATGTAGCTCTGGCTGTCCTGGAACTCACTATATACACCAGGTTGGCCTTGAACTCATAGAGTTCCTACTTGTACCTCCTGAGTGCTGGATTAAAGGTGTGTGCCACACAAACAACACATTTCCATCCTTACCTTTATCGTCGAGCTTCAGCTGAGTAAAGCCTATGTTTATATCACAGTTTTTAAAACCATCACTCACAGGTGATTTATCTTGTTTAGGATGACTGCTGTCAGATACAAAAGACATCTGAGGATTAAATAAAAACAGTCAAAGATAAAGACTATCAGTCCTACCTGATGACAGGCACTTTTCACTTACATTATTTTGCCCTCCAAATAATGAAGGCTATGTATGACAGAAAAATCATTTTCATCTGACTCTGTAGTAAAAACACTCAGCATAGGTTGTTGGTCAGTGCCAGTAAGAACTGGGGTTCTACTGGTGTGCACAGTGATGGTACAAGTGTTTTTGATTTTTGAGATAGTAACCCTTTATACATTTCAGTGTATAAGCTTTCAATTGTGGAAAATAAAAACCCCGTATGTAGACCTGAGTTGTTCTCTACATTAAAATTTTCTTGAAAAGGAGGCCACTTCTAGGATAGGGTAGATTCAAGGGTAGCATTTACCTAGCATGTGTGACAGTTTGTGTTTGATCTTTAATACCAGAAAAAGGAAACAAAAAAAACTATCCAATTAATTTAACCTTAGAGGCATCATGTAACTCCAGGGCCAGTGAGATGGCTCACGGGTGAAGATGCTCTCCACCAAGCCTGACACCCTGAGTCTCATCTCCAGGCTCCACATGGTGGGAGGAGAGACCTGGCCCTTAAGAGGCTGTCCTCTGACATCCACATGTACACTGTGACACACACATGCCTATACACACAATGCAAAATAAGTAACATTGGTTTATAGTCAAAATAAGACTACAAACCTGTACTGTATTGCTTTTTTTTACTTTGGAGACAGGGTTTCTCTGTGTAGCTTTGGAGCCTGTCCGGGAACTAGCTCTTGTAGACTAGGCTGGTCTTGAACCCAGAGATCTGCCTGCCTCTGCCTCCTGAGTGCTGGGACTAAAGGCGTGTTCTACCACTGTGGGAACACCAGACCTTGAGCAGAGACCCACTTCCCCTTCTGCCTGGGAGTAGGCAGCTGTAAGACAATGTTTAGTAAAAACATGTTTACTAAAAACGATACAATAAGTTCCTGGAAAAGGCCTTCCCACAGAAACCGCCCTGACCTCGACCTTGTCCAAAGACTAACCACACCTTCAAAACCCACACACATCCACCTCTGGGAGCAGAGCAGAACCAGCCAGGGTAGAGGAGAGAGCAGAAGCTTCTCTGGTGGGAGCCTTTCTTAGGAAGTTTTCTTGAACCTTTTTGGAGCCTGTTTAAAGTTTTCTTTATATCGTTGAACGAGTCTCTGTGTTGTCAATCCCCGACACCCTCTACACGTTCTCAGACACAGGCTGAGAAGCAGACATGACATACCACCACCTGACTTATATTGCACTTTAAAGTTTCTTATTACTTAAAAGAATTTTTTTGCAGTACCAAGGATGGGGCCTTATGTATGCTAGACAAGTTTCCTGCAAGAGCTGTGTCTCCAGCACCACTCCTGGTAGTCTAAGTTTTTTCCCCTGAATCAACAGGCTGTTTGCTCTACAGCTACATGCCATTGGGAGAACAGCATGGATTGTTAAATGACTAAATTGTTTTAAAAATATCTAACAAATCTAAGCATATAGCTTTGAATCTATTATTTCTTATTTATAAAGAAGGTTTTTCCCCCCAGTGGGATGGTCTCCCAATATTATGTTTGCATAATTTCGTAGTAGAGAGCAACTATTTTAAGTTTTTTACTTTTAAGTAGCACTGTCTTTTTACTCGCTAAGGAGAGTTGGTTTCCGTGTCACTCTACACTCAGGTATTCTTGTTTATTCGTTTCTTAATTTTTCAGACAATATCATGTGATTCCTTCACTATTGTCTACTGAGTGCTGAGATTATGGACATGTGCTTCCATGCCTGGCCTGCAATGTGTTCCTATATAACAATTAAACCACCAAAAAAGACCAAGACATATTTCATAAAGGAAGAATTAACACTTTCCTTGTCCAAAATAAAAGAACTATTATTTTACCTCACAAAATGAGAGCTACACTGCAGAGTGACCCTGTGGCTCATGATGATGCTTATTCTTTCCCCTTCAGTCTCTAGGTTTATGATGAATTACATGTGACCTTTGTCACCATATTGATGGCAACTGCCTGAGCAAGACTGGGACTAATATAGTCAGTATCTCAAATGAGAATCCTGGAAGTTGGTCAGTGGAGTGGGAAGGAGGAAGTGAGCGTTTCTGAGTTACTTCTTCCTTAGAGGCTATCAAACTAAGATTTAAATGATGAGAGCATGGAGCAGAGCTTAGTTGGCACAGTGCAACTATGAGGACCAGAGTTTGATTGTGCTTTTAGTCATGTAAAAAGCTGGGGAGGGTGGCACAGTTGCAGTCCCAGCACTGAGGAGATAACCAAAACCATGTAAAAGCCAGGCAAGTAGAATAGATCTGTAATCCCAGATGTCCTATGGAAGACAGAAGATGGAGACTAGAGAACCACCTGGAATTTGGCAGGCCAGCTAGCCTAGCATAATGCAGTGGTGAGCTAGAGAGCCAGTCTCAAGATGGAGGTTGGAGACTGACACCAGAGCTTGTCTGCTGACCTCCACAAATCAGCCTGGAACACGTTTGCTGGGACATGTGTCCTCTCGTCCCCTTGCACAAATGCATATATGGGTGGCCCCTGAAGAACTGCACTCAAGGTTGAATTCCGGCCTCCACGTGCATGTGCGCGCACACACACACACACACACACACACACACCCCATGCACGCACAAGCAGACCTGCTCTTCAGTGCTTACCTGGGACAACGTCTTCTGTAGGCTCAGAGAAGTATCAACATCAGGTACACTTTGATTAGCTGGCTCAGAATTCGCTCCTGCAAGGCTGAATAGATAAACATTCCTTAAATGTTCTCAAAAGGAAACAAAGCAGAAAATTTCGATATTTGACTTAAGTAGTTTTTAAAGCAGGTTCTATGTTAGATAAAACTATAATTACCCACATGCCTCTTCTTCCATTAGCTAGAAACAAGGAGGAAAAACAGATTTAGTGCGTTTTCTGTCTGAACAAAGTTAATGTTTTATTCTAGAACACATACATACCCTGGAAGCAAAATCGGAGAAGGCAGACAACAGTTTGGACTCCATTGACAGTGGAGGCAGCTCCTCCAGTGGTATGCCCTTGTGGACTTTTTCTTTCAAGTTCAAGTACCTAACCTTCAAGTCTCCCAGAACAGATAGCAGTGTTGATCCTAATTCCTTCTTAGCAGAATTACTTGATAAATTCCTGTTCAAAGTTCACAGAACAAATTTTTTAGGCTCAATTCATTCACCTAACACTAACATGGTATCATACACTTAGTTCTAGCTCTTTCAGATCTTTGATTTTTACCTGTTAAACAAACCATGGTAGATACATTTTCTAGGGTCAGCATTAGCAACCCTTGATAGGTAAGCCAGAAAGAATATCACAGAATACCATGCAGAAACCCCAACTGATTGACTTTACTCTTACTTGGAATTTATAAGCAAACAGCAAACCCATTTATTTTACTGGACTAATGACTGCAACCATACCTCACCATGACACAAGAACTGTGTTTTATTTTTGAAACAACCTCAAAATGTAGCCCTGGCTGACCTGGAACTCACTAGGTAGACTAGGCTGGCCTCCAACTGAGTCATGCCCTTGCCTCTGCCTCCCAAGTACTGGGATCATAATCACACCCAGGAAAAGAACTTCTTTTGAAGTTTATTACTCTTGTATTTTTGGTTGTGAGCCTAGCCTTTAATGGCTGAGCATCTCTCCAGTCCTAAGTTTATTACTCTTAAGGCAACTGATAAACCCAATTATAGCCTACGTTTTGTCTTTCAAAAACTGAAAACAGCTTTCTAGAATAAAGTCACAGTGATAAATGTTAAGAAAATCTAGATTTAAAATAGATGAACACCTATTGACTCCTGCTCTACTTTCCATTACAAGTTTGTAAATGTGACTACAGTGGCGATGGCACATCTGATAGCAAACATCCAAAAGGTGCATCTCGGCCTTCATGGCCCTCTCAATGGTTTTCTCACAGCACTTTGATGGCAAATTCATCTCTTCACAAAGCTGAAATGCCCTTTAAAATAAAAGATGGTATTAGGCAAGATTCTGAACATATCCTACAGTAGTGACAGACTTCTTTCTAGGAACAAATTTTAGTTCTTTTGAGACAGGGCTTCTCTGTGTAGCCCTGGCCATCCTGGAACTCACTCTGTAGACCAAGCTGACCTCTAACTCAGAGATTTGCCTGTCTTAGCCTCCCGAGCGCTGGGATTAAAGGTGTGCATCACCATATCTGGCCAGATTTTATATGTCTTATATTTCCATGTAGCTTAATTTAATTCTTCCTAAATAGGGGAAGCTATAGTCATAAACTGTTTTGGATGTTTAATTTTTAAATATACTTTTATAGCTTTGGGATACCAGAATAAACTCATTAGAAAAATGAAAAATAAAAAAGGCACATGATATGAGAGTACAGTAATGTTTGTAGCTCTCGTTTCTTCCACTCTGATTTCCACTTTTGGATTATTAACAAATGCCAAGAAAAACCAATGATAAATAGGCTTACATTTAACAATACTTCAGTGAGTGTATCTATCTCTTCAAATATGTGGCATTTTCTCTAAGATGCTAGTTTGTTTAATCTATGTGTGATTCAAAAGAAGAAAAAGAAAACAGAATTAGTATAGCTGTGGCTTTAGTAAGGGAAGATGATGCCTTTATACCTAAAGAAATGGAGGCAAGTACAGGACCTTCATGACACTCCCTAACCCCATGCTGCTATGTGTGTCTGCTGAAATGGCCAATATGCCAACTTCCTTACAGCCCCTTTAGTTCTACATGGTTAAATAGACTACACAGAAAATAAATACATGTATAAACTTGTACAGCTAACCTACCTCTCAGGATGTTTTTTTCTGTCTGTGGCATTAAATGATTTTCTTAGTTCCAAGGAATTCTGAAAACAATATAAAATAAAATTATAAATAAATATATGACAAAATGAATGTTATACATGGAGTTCCAAAATGGTAAAATGTAAAACCAGAGTTTGAAACAATTTTGTTGACAATGTCTGCCGCCAGAAGACAGAGCTATGGCCTGCTGCCATCCTTTCCCGAGTTAGCATTTGCTCACTAAGACTCCAAATGAACCCAACCACATTTGCACACCGTCTACAATTTGGTATTATTGATTTTACCTCATTCAGGGAAATCCCACTGGGCTTTAAACAGTCCATTGAGAGTGGCCTTCCTGATTCTTTTGGTACAGTCATCTGCGCATCTCTGCAATCCTGTCTGCACGACCAGTCTGTATTACAGGCCACACTTAGTTTCTCAGTTTGCCGCTCATGAGGTTCATGTTTTTTCAGCGTTATCTCTGTGTTGCTTGATGTAGACATGACAGAAGATCTTGTATTTGCCCCTCTGCTCACATCCAGTGTCTGCTGAACTGCAAACATACAGCCTGTGGCATCTGGCACTGACGTTAGACATGGTTCTTTCACATCAGGAGAGCATGTTTTATTTGGGGCACCGCTTTTTACATGGTGTAGACAGCTGTCCTCTACTTCTGCCTGATTTTCTGTGACTGCTACCTTTGGGAGCACAGGAGAAAAAAAGCCTGGATCCGGGAGGCCTTTGTATTGCAAAGAGCCACAGAGAGAAATGACTGAGTCATCAAAAATGGAAGTCCCAGAAGTCTGGAGAGAATTATTAGCCTTCAGTTGTGTCCCAAGGGCTTGGTCTTGGCGAAACGAGATAGGGTTCTCATGGCATTGTAATGTTTTGTTCTGAAAAATTCCATTTCCACAAAAATCTGTACTTTCAATTGTCTGAGGTTTCATTTCTTTAGCAAACATTTTAGTTTGGGGTATTTTCTGAGGGTTTAAGGGAGAGCTGCTTCTCTGCAAAATGTCATCAAACACTTTACGGTTTAGTAAACCAACCTCTTGTTCCTTACACTTTTCAAATTTTGGTTCATGGTATTGTTTTAATGTATCAGAACTCTGAGATTTAAAGGAATGAGGTGAACATTTTTGTGCCAAAATATTAAGTGACTCCAAAGAGGGGCTAGGACCACTCTCTAATTTAACATAATTATCTTCTAAATTGCCATTACACTTAACGTCATAGCCTAATGTTTTCAACTCGCTCACATCTGTCTTCGATTTGCTTACTGCTTTAGCTGGGTCACAGGGTAAGTATGTACTAATGCATTCTTGCTCAGCACTGTGGTACTCCTGCTGGGAATCATCATCCACGTCACTCTTGTCTCCATCCGAAACCTCATGGCTCTTTTGCAATCCAATACTATTGTTATCCTGAGGTCCTAAAATGCCAGAACTCACCTCAACCTTTTTGGGCACCTCAGAATGTAACTCTGAATATAGATGTGGAAGATTTGCATTCCTGAGTTTTGATTCTGAACAATGTATAGAGTATGTCTCATTCAAAAAAGCATAGTCAATACTGTCTTCAAACTCACTTGACTGAGAGAAAATATGCTCTACATTAGTATCTTGATTTACTGAAAAAGATGGTTCTGATAAATCCATCTTGTAAATACTGCTGATTTCTTTGTCACTAGCTCTTTGTTCTGCTGCCAAGGAATCCCATTCACCATCAGGAAAAGTCAACTTGACTTCATTGCAACCACTGGAAAATAACCCATTTTCTTTCTTAGGATTATAAGGTTTATCTGTTCAAAAAAGTAAAAGAGAATATGTTAACAACTTCATAGAAACTAAACATTGTAAACACTAGATATAATCTGGTCCTGATTCCTCAAAATGCTGGACTACTTTTACATCATTGATGACAAACACAAATGCCCCTTATAGCAACTAAAATGAGTTGAAACTCATCTCCCAAACAACAATTGTGATGGTTATTAAAGCTGGCCCTTTAGAGACCATGAGTGCAAGGCCCTCATGATACGGTTCATCCTCCTTAAAATGTAGCAGAGAGCTTCAAGTCACATCCCATCTGAAGATAAACTAGGAACCAGTTACCAGCTAGGACAAGATACCTCAGGAGAATCTAATCATCCTGGCATCTCAATCCCTCACTTCCAACCCCAGAACTATGAGAAAATACTCTGAAGCTGTTTAAGCCACTTAATCAATGGTGTTTCACTACAGCTATCCACGGTGATCTAAGTGTCAAGATCCTTCTTGAATTCTTTCTGTGGTGAGAAGTTTTTCCTCTATAGGGCAGTCACTTTACTTGTGGATGGGTCTAACAAGAAATTTTATAAAATAGCATCATTTAATAAATTCTGGGGTATCTACTGAGGTCAGTCAGTTGTAGGCAAGAGTGTAAATGAAGGCAAGAGGACACCAGTGTTGCCCCCACAGCTTATGGCTTTCTTAAGGGTTATAGATAATAAACAAAAAACCCACCACAGCTAAGAGAAGTTATGACCATTATGCTAATGGAACATGTAAATTTGAGGAGAAAACTTTACATTTGGCAAGTGTTTTCTAATAAAATGGACTAATTTGTCTTAGATAAACCCAACAAGTGCTGCTGACTGTGTGAATGAATGTGGTCCTTGCAGGAACTAGGCCAGCCTGCACGTAGTAGAAGAGATGTCTAAGAGAAGTGTGGGGAACTGCTAAGGCCTTTATGAGATGCTAAGGACATCTGGTTCTTATCCTAAGGGATGGGAAAGCCACTGTAAGCCTCATAAAAGGGTAGTCATGTGACTGGGATTGAGCTGTGGAAAGCGCCTGTAAGAAGCTTGCAGAGTGAAGGCAGGTAGATCAAGAACGCAGAAACGCAGAAGACTAGAGAGGGCACTAAATAACAGACACACAATGTTCACAGTGAAACAAAAAGCTTCTAAAACACCGGGCATTGGTGGTACACGTCTTTATTCCCAGCACTAGGGAGGCAGAGGCAGGTGGATCTCTGTGAGTTCGAGGCCAGCTTGGTCTACAGAGCGAGTTCCAGGACAGCCTCCAAAACAATACAGAGAAACCCTGTCTCGAAAAACAAAAACAACCCCCCCCATTAAAAAAAGCTTCTAAAACAGTATTTACTCTTGGGTCGATGCATTCTGGGATTTCCTATTTCATTTTACTAAAAAGCACAATTCGCTCACTTTATTTCATGACCCACCGATCGGCCACTCCCTGCTTAAGTGCCACTCTAAGACTTACTGGGCACCGCCTCTGAACGGGAATATTTAGCACTAAAGAGAGGGCCTGCCAAGAAGAGCAGGTGCACAGGAGGGAGAGCAGGACAGGGAGGAGGAAGATGGAGTTCAGCCCACGCAAGGGATCTGAGGTCACTGATAAAAGATACAGATTAATACTCAGCTGCAATAAATATAGAGACTCACACAGGAGTTACTTTTCATACATCAGGGACACTATTTCATATTTCCATGCTTATAAGTAAGTTAACATAAATGCTGTCTTATATCACAATTTTAACAGATTAGTTAAACAGATTGTTCTTCCATGGACTTACAAGGTCTGTCTTTTGCCTTTCCTACTACATAATTATAAAAGCAGTTTGCCCACAGCTACCACAAACTCATGAGGGAATTGGCAAAGTTAACAATGTGCTGAATTGTACCATCTTGCTGGGAGAGGCTTTAAAATAGCAACCCTAAAGGGAAACCTTCATTTACCCAAGCCTTGGATTCTCACCTTTTTGGAGGTCTCCCCCATTTTTCTGGCAGTTTTTATCAGAAGTAGTTTCTACCACTGCAGTAGCCTGCATAGTTCAAAGATGTACATCCTAGAAAAGGTATAACATTGAACTGTTAGTATACCTATCACAGAGTTAAAAAAAAAACTTAGAATAAACAAAGTAGTAGTTATAGTCAAAGATTCCACTGTCAGAGACAATAAACATAAAAACAGGTAGGACACTTGAGTAACTTTTTTCTTTAAAGAAAGGGTCTCCATGTATCCCAAACTGGCCTCAAATTCACTATGTGGCCAAGGGTGACCTTGAATGGCTAATCCGCCTGCCTTCAAACTCTCAAGTACTGAAATTATAGGCATGCCACCCTATCTGAATTGTGGAGCATTGTGGCTTTGTGTCAACACTACTGACTAAGCCACACCTCCAGCTTTTTTGAATAACTGTTTTAAAACTCTGGATTACAAACACACCTCTATGGAGGGACTGGAAGCAGGATTGGGGAGCACAATGTGAAATTCCCAAGGAATCAATAAAGAATTATGTTAAAAGCAAAAAGCAAACAACAACAAAAACCTCAAGCAAGACATTCTTCCAAATTTCTATAGTAATGAAATATAATAATGCCAGGTATCTTAGTCACTGTTCTATGGCTGTAAAGAGACATCATGACCAAGGAAACCCTTACAAAAGAAAACTTTTTTCTTTCAAGACAGGTTTTCTCTGTGGCTTTGGAGGCTGTCCTGGAACTAGCTCTTGTAGATCAGGCTGGTCTCGAACTCACAGAGATCCGTCTGCCTCTGCCTCCTGAGTGCTGGGGCTAAAGGCGTGCGCCACCAACGCCCAGCTTAAAAGAAAAAATTTTAATTGGGAGCTTGCTCACAGTTTCAGAGACTTATAGTTCATCATAGCAGGGAGAATTCTACATCCTGATTCACAAGCAGCAGGAAGAGATTGAGTCTGGGCCTGGCACAGGCTTCTGAAACTTCAAAGCATACCAGGAATGACACACTTTCTCAAAAAAAAAAAAAATCACACCTCCTAATCCCTGGTGATTAAGTATTCAAATATACTAACAATGAGGGCTATTCTTATTCAACCACCACAGCCAGGTCGTTAAGATGTCACAATAATCTCAAAGACTACTTTGAGCCTGTTGTCAAATTTAGATAGAAATTGCTTCCTAAACAAACTGTACAGTTATGAAAAACAAACAAGGAGTTGAGAAGGTAACATGCTTGCTACAAGCCTAAGGATCTAAGTTCAGATCCCCAGCATCAATTACCATAGCATCCCAGGCATTCTATACAAAGCTTTTTATACTCTTCTGCAAGTAACAAAACTAGTTTCCAATATCCCCTTCTTTTCTAAAATTAAAAACAACAACAACAAAAAAAACCTTTTTAGTGTCGTTTCATATGTTTTCCCAAACAACTCACACCTAGAATTCCACACTATGAGGCAGGGTTAAGGACGTCAGGAGTTCGAAGGCAGTCAGTCATACGGTGACATCCAGACCAGCCTGGATCCTTTCTGGCTAGGAAACTCAGAACACCACTGAACCCGTAATTTGTTGCTCAGAAAGGCTCGTTAAATGTCTAGAATCAGAACCCTAAAACTAGCTATGTTTAAACTTTTAGAGAGTCAGGAAATGGCGAGCAGCCCACAAAACATTAAGAAATAAATGACCGATCCCAAGAACTCGTTCATGTATGCACCAAGCGATCTTTGTGTGCAAGCCGATCACCTCATTTTAAAAACAACGAAACTGCCCGGTGGTGGCAGCAGCGACGCACGTCTTTAATCCCAGCACTGGGGAGGCAGAGGCAGGTGGATCTCTGAGTTCGAGGCCAGTCTGATTTACAGGGCAAGTTCAAGGACAGCAGGGCTACAGAGACAAACCTTGTCTCAAACAAAAAACTAAAAAACAAACACACAACAAACAACCCCCAACGAAACCGTTGCAAGAAAGATTTCAAGAGAAAATACTAGTGTGACGGTGGGGTCGCGAACGCAAATGAGGCCAGGTCTCGCTGCAGGACAGCTCGGACTGCACCGGCTCCCAGCACCCCCTGCCCGGGGGTCTCACTTCCATGCTGGGCTCACCATGAGTGTCCCCTGCATCCCTGCTGCCGCACCTCTCCGCCAGGACGCCCTCACCTCCTACTCTGCTGCCTAACGAGTAGCGTCTCGGAGCTTGTCTGGTAACGGCTGCCGGCGATCCGCCCACTGCTCGAGGAGCGTTCCTATTGGCCTGTGCGAACAGGTCTGCACCATGATTGGCTTGAGGCTCGAAAGCGCGGGAAGGAGCCGCAGGCTTGGATTGGCTGGCCAGGTGTATAGTGTTCTCTCGCGAGATTTGGTGAGCTTCGAGGTTTCTATAGGGGCATTTATCCTGGATGTGAAGCTCTATGGCTTTCTCTGCTCCCAGTGTCCCTTTCTGCAGGATGAGGGGGTCTAGGGTGGGGTACTTTGCCTCTGGGACAAAACCTTGGGGTGTACCACAAAATTCAGAAAGCAAGACAATATTTCAGGGTGATCAGTTAAAAAAGAAAGTGTCAGAACAAGACTCGAGATGAGAAAATTATCCAAACCAGTACCCCTTTTCTCCTCTCCCCCATTTTTTGGTCAGGCTGTAGGTGGCACCTCGGAGCGGACTGTTTCTGATCATATTTTTATCTAAATTGGTATCATGGATTCTTTTTGTAATTAATTTAGATTTTTATATGATTGCATTAAAATTATTTTTAATATTCCATATGTACATTTAAAGAAGATTTTTATTAGCTATTACATATGTACATAATGGGTGCAGTGTCATTAGAGGGTCAGAAGAGAGCATGGGATCCCCTGGAGTTGGAGTTACAGGAGGTTGTGAGCCCTGATATTAGTCCTGGGATTCCAACTGGATACAAGAACTGTGTGAGTCATCTCTCTAGACACACACACACACTCACACACACACATTGTTTGTGTTCTCAGTACAGATTTGAGAGATAATTTAAGCCTGTACATTATTAGACTATCCATAAGGACCAACAACTCTACAGCACTGTGTATGGCTTTGTTTGCTGGAACATACTCTTAATTACTGAGGAGTGTTGGAGGCCTTTTCAATAAGGACAAAAGACTTTAAAGCTGGGCCGACCTCAAAACTGTCAGTCAGAGATAGAGGCCTCTGACTTGCACCCCATGTATTCTTTCATTAACAAATAGATTCACCAAATTCATGCTGACCTACCAGTAGCGGTGTGCTGTACAGTAAACCGTGAACATGGATGTGGGCCTGCACAATGTCACCTTTCAGTGACTTAATTGGTCATGCAAGTCTCCTCTTACCTACCATGACTTTGAATTTAACTTTTGAAACCACCATTTCATTTAAAATGAGGCATGGCTTTAGCCAAGCTGATGAAGTTTGGTGTCTGTTCTTCAAGCTGGTTCAGACAAAGTTCACATTGAGCTGGACACCATATCCTGTTCTGGGCAGATGGCTTCTAGATGGGTGTCTAGGTCTGAGCTGTGGAGCCCCTGTAGCTGCGGGAATGTTTTGAAACGAAGGCATGCTGAGGACGGCTGCAAACCACTTTCTACATTAGGCTAGTGGTGGTCCCCCATTGACTTCTGTAGCACAGTTAGGAGTTTTGGAAATTTCTCTCCTGGACAGACAGATATCTACCAGATGTTCATTCTAATGATGGTTCCCTTATACCCAATGAGACAACACAGAAGCTGTCAGATCTTTCATGTATCTGCAGTTTTGTAACTGGAAGTTTCTGTCCTGCCCATTTATAATCACTCAGAGGCTTAATATTAACTATAATTGTTTGACCGATGGCTCAGGCTTATTACTAGCTAGCTCTTACATTTAAATTAACCCATTTCTATTAATCTATGTATTGCCATGTGGCCTTGGCATTACTTCATTTTCTCCATGTCTTGCTTCCTTGGCAGCTTTTGGCATCTTCTCCAGACTCCACCTTCTTTCTGCCTGTATCTCTGCTTGGATTTCCCATCTAGCTATATTCTGTCCTGCCGTAGGCCAAAGCAGCTTTATTTATCAACCAATGAGAGCAACATATATTCACAGCATAAGTGCCTTTAATCCCAGAACTAAGGTGGTAAAGACAGAAAGTGCTATATGGCTGGGTGGCAAGAGGAATATAAGGTGGGAGGAGACAGGAGCTTGGTCCTCTTTTGTTCTGAGGATTTCCTAGAGGTAAGCACTAGTGGCTGCCTTCTTCTCTGATCTTTCAGCATTTACCCCAATATCTGACTCTGGGCTTTTACTAATAAGACCAACTAGAATTCACATTACACATTTTAAATTATTGAAGACAACAGATCATCTACTTGAAGAACAGCTTGGATCTGGGCAGATGGGGCATTGTGTTCCTAGAGGAAAAGGCCCACACTGTGCATAGTTTTGTTATATATTACCAGGTAAACTGTGTGGACAGTGATACTGGGCAACACAACAAGCCTGACCTACATAACTAGACCCTGTCCCCCAAAGAAAACAAAATAAAAATAAACAAAAAACCCAAACCAGCCAAGTGGTGGTGATGCACATATTTAATTCCAGCACTCAGGAAGCAGAAGCAGGTGAATCTCTGTGAGTTTGAGGCCATCCTGGTCTACAGAATGAGTTCCAGGATAACCAGGGCTACACACAGAAACCGTGTCTCAGAAAACCCAACCAACCAACCAACCAACCAACCAACCAACCAACCAACCAACCAACCAAAGAAATGGAGCTAATTTCCTTCCCATTGAATGTGGGAAACACGCATTCCAGGGGAGATCATGCTTTTCAGTTTCCTTTCCTTTCCTTTCTTTACTGCTCTGTTTATTTCTCTAAGCCAGATCTTTCTGGAAGAAGTGAGCCCTAAAGCTCATTCTAGAGCACCCAGGCTGAGTTGTTAAGGTCTCTAGCCAATACTCAAACAGTAAGTGATGGGCATCAGCAAGTAAGTGAGTTTGGGAACCATTCTCCAGGAGTTTGGTATCCTGAGCCAGAACTCCCCACCTACATCACGCCCAGACTCGCGACACTACAGAAGCTGTGAGGTAAGTTATGTGCCCTCATAGGTTAATTTGTTATGGAGCAATAAATAACTCACACAGTGATTTTGTGAAGAAATTTCTTCATAGCATTCTAAACAGAACATACAAAATTTAATTATCTCAGTTTAGAATTAAATGTCTAGCATAAATAAATAAGTAAATAAATAAATAAATAAATAAATAAATAAATTTTAAATGGACAATACCAGGAAAAGAATGTAGGGACTCTACATGCTAGACAAGTGTCAGCCTCTTCGTTTTTGATTCATTTTGATTTTCAGGTGGGGTCTCTCTATCTTCCCTTGGATGTCTTGGTGCTCTCTACATAGACTAGGTTGGCCTCAAACTCACAGTGATACATGTTTCTGCTGCCCAAGTGCTGGCACTAATAGTGCCTGCTAGCATGCCTGCCTTTCCTTTTTTTTTTTATTATGAGACAAAGTCTCACATAGTTACCCAGGAAGGCCTCAAAATTATTATTATTATTATTATTATTTGGTTTTTAGAGACAGGGTTTCTCTGTGTAACAGTTCTGGCTGCCCTGGAACTTGCTTCACAGACCAGGCTGGCTCCAAACTTACAGATCTACCTGCCTCTGCCTCCTGAGTGCTGGGGTTAAAGGCATGTACTATCACCACCCAGCTATTTTTGAAAAGTGTATGTGTGTGTGTGTGCTAAATAGCACACGTGTAGAGGTCAGATAACAACTTGCAGGAGTGGGTCCCAGTTACCTCAGGTCATCAGGCTTTGTGGCAAGCATCTTTACCCCTGAAGGTTTGAACTTTCAATCCTCCTTCAGTCTCTCAGGTATGACAGGTCTGTGCCACTGGCCTGGCTCAGGTTTGTAGGTGATGTCTTATATGCCTTGGGCTTGGTAACTTTGACAAGCATTAAAATGGCTCAGATAGTTGCTTAACATAAAAAGACTTGAGCTGGAAAGACTGTAAAAGAAATTAGTTCAGCTGTAGAAAATTTTTGCTGGAAAATTATGAAACATGAAGATGGTTCACTAAAGTGAAAAATCTTCAATTAAGACACCAAACCATTGCCCATATAAGACAAAACTTTTCAAAAATACCAAAGATCAGTCAGATAAAATGCTTTTCAGTTGCAATCACTTTTCCTTATTTTCAGGTGAGTCATTTGACAGAAGGACAACCCATGGATCCACTTTATTTCAAAGGACCTTTAAACTTATAAAGAAGTGTCAATCAACCTGAAAGAACTGACTCAGGATATGGCTATTTATAGATCTACTACATCTGCTAATAAACTTCAGCTAGAGACAGAATGAAGTAAAAACCATTAGCTTCCATCTGATGTGGGGCTCCAGATATGGTGAATTCAACAACAAAACACCCAGAGGCTAGAGAGATGTCTTAGTGGTTAGGAGCACTTGCTACTCTTGCAAAACACTGGAATTTGGTATACATTAGGACTCACAACCTCTTCTAACTTCAGTTTCAGGGGACCTGGCACCCCCTTCTGGCTCCCAAGGGCACCAACACGCACAGGAAAAAATTTAAAAAGCCAAGTTTTCTGATAATTTGAAAGGAGAAAATGATGGTTCCTTTTTTCTCTACTTGACCATATGATATGTATGGAGATTGTCTGTACTTGGCTTTCCAAGGAAGGTTCTATGGAGAGGAAGGGTGGACACTTGCTAAAATCACCCAGAAAGCACGCAGATAACTGATGGGGGTTGTCCTTCTGTATATATGTTTCTTTTATTGGTTAATGAATAAAACACTTTTCAACCAATGAGGCAAGAAGATAGATGGGTCTAGGAGACAAGGGGAATCCTGGGAAAGGTAGGCAGGGTGGGCCTGTCATGCAGGGTTGCCTTGTGTGCTGTCAAAAGAGTTAGAGGACCAGACCCTTCTCCAGTAAGATAAGACCATGTGGAAATACTTAGATTAATAGAAACGGGTTAATAATTAAGACAGAGCTAGCCAATAAGAAGCCCTAGTCATTGGCCAACAGATTTATAACTAATATAGCATCTGTGTGATTATATGGGGCTCAAGGGCCACGGGACCAGTCAGGACAGAAAGCTCTTGTTACAGATGGCTGAGACAGAAAACGCAGGTGATGGCTATGTGCTCTGTGCCCACACTAATCATTGAGTGGTAGAGTT